GATATATGTGATTTACCTATATAAGAGAATAGATTAGAGGAATGTTGCCTAAGATATTAGACGTGGCCAAGAGAGCCACATGCACCTTGCTGGTGGCTTGTGAGACAATAGCCACAACAGGAAGCAAACCTGTGTATTGTGTTGCGAGTCGCGTTGAATGATGAACAAACGTGATCGTGATCCATGGCTTGGCCACGTTTGTAATATAGGCTGGGTGGAGAAGATGTGGAGACTAAAGAAGATAGAGTGAGAGCTAAGGTAGGCTTACACAAGACGTGAACACACTGCTTGTGGACGCAGTACGCCGCCTGTCAGCTCTGCAGTTAAAGCAGACGGACGTAGCTCTCGTCTGATACAAGCAAACAAAAATTCTGATAAGTTTTTATCATTTTCTGAAATCTCTCTTTACAGAGAATAAAATTTTTTTAATACGTGAAAAAAACAAACTGAAAGGCGTGGGATGTGATTCCACATTCAGGGAAATTCGCCTTGGTGATATCGAATGCCGTGTACACTTTAAAATTCTCTTTTCTTCCTACGTGTTGTGTGTGTGTGTGTGTGTGTGCTTGAGGAACCTCAAGTAGTTTTATTAGTTATGACTCTGCTTGCTAAAAATTTAGAAGAGATTGAAAGCCACAGTACCGTTACTGGGACAGTTAACATCTAGTCAATATTATCGAAAAGAAATTTTGATCCGTCCTGAACCATAATTAACTCACAACACAAAAACCTGGACATGAACAGACGACTTCTACTACGCCTGTGAAACAAAACCTCAACATAGTCCATACTTACATCATGCCACCACTCGACCTTGTAGGGATCTGGGTTGGCATCGATCCTACACTCAAAAAATAGGTCAGTGCCCTCCCGTAGATCATCGTGATTGAGGTTTCGACCCAGAGACATGTTTAATATAGGCTTATCTGAAAAGTAAATTCAATATAAAAATTAAATTGAGATAAATAGTGTAATCTGGAAAACAGACTCAGAGACGAATTATCAGTAAAGATTCTTAGATTTATTTTACTGAGAGTCAAATCTATGGTTAAATATCTTGAAGTGACGACAAACTGGTCTGGGAGTTATGGTGATTGTAAAGATGCACTGGAGGTGCTCTATTAGTTATAGTGGAACATAAATTAAATTTTTTAATGATACAGGGATAGCTTCGAATTAAGTATAAGATACATATATCCTTACTCTCATTTAATAAAATTATTATTACTATTATTATTATTATAATTATTAATATTATTATACCTTAAGACTACATGTCACCACCAGTCAAGAGCATTTTTAACCATTAAAATAGGGATCACAATAAATTCTCAGTCTAGAGAGAGAGAGAGAGAGAGAGAGAGAGAGAGAGAGAACTTCTGGATATATATACCTCCTTGATGTTTACCAGGATTTACGTAATGCTTTTCTCATCAATATTTCACTAATACAAAATATATATATATATTATTATATATATATATATATATATATATATATATATAATATATATATTAAATATATATATTAATATAGCAAAATTCTACAATTTCGTTGGACTTATCTGTTTCCTGTCATAAACGTTAACAACAAATCGGTTTTGTTTTTACATCAGTGACAAAAAGGACTACACGAAAATATCGAGATTCTAATACGCGTAAAAGTTTAAAATCTAAATTGGTGCAGTCAATCCCTTGCATAGTGGTCGTGTTGCTCTGTTTTGTGCAAATGTCAGTTCCACGTGAGCGAGTGAGCGATCAGCTGACCAACTGGGATCACTGATTAATTTTTCTGCGTTATCCAAATGAATGCTCACGTTAGTTGTTTAGTCGCTGTTGTTTGTAAGGGTAGGCATATTTTTTTTTTTGGGGGGGGGGTTAAATTTGTCCCTTTGTAATAAATAATTAGGGTGGAATGCTCGTCTTTTTTTATCATTTATCAAAATTAATTTCTACCAAATGATTTCTAATCTATATTTATATTATGTGGCTAAGTCTAATACTAAATTATTTTTAGTTTTATTATTATATTCATAGGAAGTGGTAAACCCGTACGGGTCATACAGCGCCTGGGGAAATGAAGGTAATGAAGGTTTGACCCGAGGAAGGGGGAGGTAAACTTCAGTTCCTCGAATCAACAGCCCATCATGAAGACTCTGTGCTGCGACAGTGCCATGAACACTCAGATAATAATTCTACCTATCACACTCACTCTCACACACACACACACACACACACACACACACACACACACACACACACACACACACACACACACACGGGAGAGACTTGCTGCTCCAGCACCAAAACCTAATGCAGCACTGGCCTACAAACAATCAAGTTGGGATGGCCCCATCACTGAAAAGGTGCTTGCCAACATGCTCAGGGCTGTAACATCAGACAGGGAGACTACCTATCTCCAAGCTGTGAGTGCACATCACTCCGGGGACTTCCTCCAAACATTTCCCATTTCGGCAATGGGAACATGCCTCGACGAAAGACCCTCTGTACTGCAGTGCTCTGCGCCTTGCTGCCCCAATTCACACTAAATATACGTGTATTTGCGGCAATGCGCAAGCCGACCAATATGGTCTACATGGTCTTAACTGTTCCGCAACCAAGGGCTGGCATGCAAGACACAGTGAAGTCAACGACATCATAAAGAGAACCCTTGCTACAGCTGGATGCCCAGCCGAGAGAGAGGCCCGATCACTAGCAGCCAACAATACTCACAACCCAGCAAACCGCCCCAATGGGATCACCATCTATCCTTGTAAGAATGGCAAGCTCTTAGCTTGGGATTATACCTGTGTGTCGACGCTGGCTGACACCTATATCCATCACAGTGTCGGGCGACAGGAAGAAGCTGCTCATCACGGAGGAGTACAAGATCAGCAAGTACAGGGACAAAAGCTAACAGTTTCAATTTGTCCCAGTGGGATCAGAGACCTTGAGATCATGGGAAAAAATTCCCCACATTTCCTTAAAGAGCTGGGTTCAAGACTCATCGACACCACCAGTGACCAAAGGGCAGCCACTTTCATGTTCCAGCGCTTCAGCGTGGCCATCCAGAGGGTAAATGCATGCTGCATACTGGGCTCACGTCCGGCTTCGGAGGAGCTGGAGGAGATTCTTAATCTTTGATATATTGTACCATTGTATTCATGTTTATGTTTTCTGTCAATGTATTGACATATGTATAATATAATCAACGTCAATGTATAATAGAATCAACAACCGGTTGTCTCCCACCGAGTCAGGGTGAATCAGAAAAGAAGAAACACTTTCATTATCACACACTTCATCACTGTCTTGCCAGGGGCGCGCCAATACTGCAGTTCATTACAAATATCCCACCACTCCTTCAGGGTGCAGGCACTGTACTTCCCACCACATTATATATGCATATATATATTGCAAACCAGATGAATTACAGAGGAGTAATCTCTCTCCGTTACGTTATTCGTCATCCTTGTTTCCTCAAAATATAAGGTAGATGGTGTCTCCTCAACTCATTGTGCTTACTGCATGTGTTTCTCCCAATGTTGTAGAGAATACTTCCCAGTTGCGCTTATTCCATGGCAACTGTTTTGCCAGATTAATCGAGCGTATAATAGTTTTCCCTGTAACTCTGCGATAATCAGCTGGAACATCACGAAATTAACATATTAATTGATATTAAATAATTCTAATTAAATTAAGCCTTCCTTTAGATACGTATGATAGGATTAAGCTATTCTAGTTTTTCTGCTTTAATTAAGTTTATTGAACATATCTATAAATCCATATTAAAATATATCTCAAAATGTTTTAGGAAAATTGGACTTGTTTGGTTACTGGTTAAAAGTGCAATATATACATTATCCGGCTCATCAGCTTACTCCGCTTACAGAGAATTACAAAAAGACATCGGCTATGTTGCTCACTGTATCGAAGTCCAAGTATTTTCGTACATTGCGATACAGATTATGTGATTTGAATCGGAGTATTTTTGCAGTGTTTTGTCATTTTCATTCCCAATCCGCAGTTTTATGCCAAACTGGTCCAGTTTTAGAGCAATGGTTATAAAATGTCTCATATACTGTAGTTTTGAATTTTCGGCTTTCAATCGGTAAATATTGCAATGGCGATCAAGCAGATTATCTTTCAGAACCATTATAGTTTAAAAATAGTATTTATGATCATAATATTTTGAACCCTTTATGCAGAAAAAGCTTCTTGTGAGTAATATGAAACTATTAAAAATAGTTAGTGTCTCTTTGTTATGGTAATGTTATGGGTTATGGTTTTTTGCTTAATTAAAAATCAACAACAGTCAACAGCAGCTTACAGCCCTAGGGTAGCATGTACTCCTAGGGTAGCATGTACTCTTAGGGTAGCATGTACTCTTAGGGTAGCATGTACTCCTAGGGTAGCGTGTACTCCTAGGGCAGCATGTCCTTGGGTAGTATGTAGTCCTTGGGTAGTATGTAGTCCTTGGGTAGTATGTAGTCCTAGGACAGCATGTAGTCCTAGGACAGCATGTAGTCCTAGGATAGCATGTCCTAGGACAGCATACAGTCCTAGGACAGCATGTCCTAGAGCTGTATACAGTCCTAGAGCTGCATACAGTCCTAGAGCTGCATACAGTCCTAGAGCTGTATACAGTCCTAGAGCTGTATACAGTCCTAGAGCTGTATACAGTCCTAGAGCTGTATACAGTCCTAGAGCTGCATACAGTCCTAAGCTGCATACACTAGGGCAGCATATAGTCTCAGGTCAGCATTCTGCACTAAATCACTACGCCTGTTCCTCATACAAAGCATATGGAAATTTTGCAATTGAAAGTGAAGTGAAAGAAAGTATGTTTGCAGAAGAACAAGATTGATTTAGTAAAGTGGATGTGTGGAGAAAGTATTAGCAAAGACACACAACTGAACCTTCTATTACTGAAAGTGAGCTAAATGTTGCAAATATATGAATTTGGAAAACACTGTGGCTAGCTTTTTTCAAATTTATGGTAAAGGTGGAACGCTTTCAATAGCTAAAAACAATTTTTATCGAAGAGAGTGAGACTTTTGTTAGTCTGTGGAGCATTTACCAGAAAAAAAGGTAGGTATACAACGGTATAAAATGTCAACATACTTGTTGCGAGTGCTTATAGTCAAGTAAAATAAGTAAGAGATACGTGGAATGAGAAAGGCATTTTTCTGCAAAGAAGTGTGTGATTTGGAACGACGTATAAAAGGAACATATTGAAAATGGATGTAGAAAGAACGAAGATGGCGAATTATGGTCAAATCGATTAAATAAAAGACTGGCAGGATAAGTAGAGCGTGGATTTGAACAGTACTTACACTGGACGTCTAGAGTGAAGATGTCCTCTAGGGCAGCACTGGGAATGAGTGTGTTGACGGCGCGACACACTAGCTGTCTGCCGTGGTCACTGCGGGAAGCGTTCAGTGACAACACACTCCTCGTTACGTTGTCTCGGTGCCTCACCTGTAGGCAGGTGTGTGATGAGGGAGGGAAGAGTAAATTATACCGTTGGTCAGTGTCATTTATGGCCCGATCAGTGAGGCTTTTAACTATCTGATCGAGACCTTTCACTGTCTTATCGGCCTACCTCCGTGAAGGCAAAAAATTAAATGTTTAAATCTGGGCAGGTGACATGTAGGAGGAGGCTGTAGAGATGCTTCGTTTTAGTGAGAGTAATATTGGACTGATATTGGTGAGTCCATATTTACACTCGCTCGCTCACTCACACGTACACACACATGCACGTGTACACACATGCATACACGTACACACACACATACACGTACATACACACACGTACATAACATACACGTACACAAACATATACACGTACACACACACGTACACACACACACACATACACACCCAAACACCACACACACACACACACCCAAATACATACATAACACACACACACACACACACACACACACACACACACACACACACACACACACAATACGATATAGGTCTTGCAGCAGGGAGTAGACCTGGTAGCGATCAGCAGAGAGGCAGGGCCAGGAGCTGTGAATCGACCCCTGCAACCACAAATAGTTGAGTACACACAATTATAAACGTAGCTCTTATCATGAAATTGCTAATAATCAGAGATATAATCATCACGTACCATTGTATGCAAAGGCTTGACCATCTGACCCTGCTGGTACCAGGTGACGAGTGCTGGAGGGTTGCTGCCTAACACTGTGCACGTGAGCGTTGCTGTCCGTCCCTCTGCTATCGGTTCCTCCTCCCCAACTATGTTGACACTTAGCGGCCCGCCTGTAGGAAACCACTAGTAGTGCCGACTGACCTCAGGTAAAAGCGTCAGTACAATGGTTCGATACCCCTGTTCACCTTTCTGTTTATTCTAAGAGAGCCAGGAGGAGGCGACAGGCCCACTCTGCGCTATTTTGAGAGAAAAAAACTTCCCCTCACTCCTTCAGTTGCAACGTTGCAACATTGCATAGCTCCTGATGATGCACTGAGAAATGTGAAAGTACTTGAGCTAAAGATTCCACCCCCCGTGGCTTGTCTTACATAGTTAAGATCGCCTATCTGCGATTGTTTGCATTATTCATAAATAAATAATATATATATATATATATATATATATATATATATATATAAATATATATATATATATATATATATATATAATATATATATATATAATATTTGAGACTAGAACAGCCGAGAAATTTGTGAATATAAATATAAAATCTGGAGCAGCCCTGTATGTGTGTGAGGGCTTTGATCCACTGAACTGGATCCATCCTCTTCCTGGCTAAAACCTGACTGTTCCCCAAGAGCTGTATAACTCCTGTGAGTTCTCAGCGATTTCCTCCGATTATTTAATTATTATGTACGTAAACACTGCATTAGATTTTTGTCTGCATTAACGGTATACAATATTTTATAAATAATATTCCAAAGAGATTTTAGAATTAACGAGAGCACAGTTCACTACTCACAGGTCACATTCCTGAGATACTCGACCTCGTCTGGCCCCGTGCGCTCGTTATTGGTAGCTCGGCATAAGAACAAGGAGGTGAGGTCTCCTCTGGCAGCTTCCACTTCCAGCACATTATATGTCTCGTCTCCGGTGTTGGTAAAAGTGCTGTCCACTATCTTGCCATCCTGCAGCCACAGCACCTGCGGAGGGGGCGAACCTGCAGACGCAGGAGTAGGTTCAGGAGTGTTAGGTTGACGGGAAATGGTCCGAAAGGAGAAAGGGTGCAGATGGGGGCGTAGAGGCGGATAAGAGGTACGGAAGAGATGGGAAGAGTCATGCGGCATCATTACCAGTGAAAAGTGAGAGTTTTGAGGAAACGTTTCGGTATTAAGGATGGAGGAATGGTGTAAACACGAACCGAGAATGCAGCTGTTAGTACAAGTTAATGTATAAATGCTTGCATTAAATAATTTCCCAAATACCAAATATATAATTCAGTTAATATGCACTTACTCAGCTATAGCTTATTTAGATCGAACACAAGAAACAGAACTGCAGTAGTCTTATTTGCTCATTCTAAGCAGATCGAACAAGGTCCTGTGACGTTGTTCACTACATGATGGCATAAATAAGTCCAAAAGCAAACATTTCCAAAATAAAATGCCCTAAGTGTTAGCTCGTGTGTCTTTATCCACATTTTATCTGTAATATATAATAAAATTTAGGAATGAGAGATTGGATATCAGATTGCATGGAGGATGTGATATATGGAAGTGGATGTGTCAGCAGATGAGTCTATGAAAGACGAGATGAACCACAGAATTGATGAGGTTTTGAGACGTTTAGTAGCTGGACGTTACACATACACAAGGCTTTAGCAAATACTTTAATTGATAGTCACATTTAAGCAAAACGTCGTTCTAATAATGATCTCATTTTGCTTCAACTGTCTTCTTACCAGCTCCAGATGACAGTCATTCCTACTCATTGGAGAATAAAAGAAAAGAGGCATTGCAATAGGAATACTGACCCACTCTAGGCAGTTCTTACAATCAAAGTATTCACTTCAGAAAGACTGCAAAGTAGTTTTATTCACTAATCTACAAAACTGGTATCAAGTCGGTCCTAAAATCCTTTCTAAACCTGAATCTAACCAACTTGAATCTGTCGTTTCTAATTCTGTTTTGTTAAGAAAAACATTAAGCACCTCACTCGCTTTTTTTTTCCTTAATTTTGTGGAAATTTCCTGACACATCTATATTCAGAAAGTTAGTCTTTTATATCGTCCCGAAGTCTGACTGAATTTTGGATAATTATCATGTCACCAGTGTTAAGTTTACTAGGTAATCACTCCATTACCTTTGCTTGTGGGCTGACTATCAATTATTCCTATGATATTTAATCTTTCTGGCACTTGTCACTAGTGTCCTGGGGCACTGAGTGTCTCACGCCTCCCATCCTCATTCTCAGCAAGAACGTTCCTCTGAGTGAATCTGTTGGGACCTCTTACTCATTTCTGCAATACTGCAAGCTTCTCATGTTTTGATTGCAACAATGAAATGCCTAGTGTTATCATGCATCGCCCCCTTGTGGTTATATGCATATAATGTTGTGATGAATAGGTAAAACTTGCGATGTTGGCTTAAATAGCAACTCTTGCCGAATAAGGCAAACGAAAATTTGTGTATGCAATAATCATTCTGAACCTAACGAAAAAAAATATATTTCAATGCTTCTTTATTATTAAATTGTTGTAAACTTATCTAAAATATATTTAGCTTGATTAGGCTACATTAAATTGCGCTTGTTATAATAAGGTTAGATAAGTTTACTAATGTTTTTGGAACAAAATTATTAAATTTTACACTAACATAAATGAAAAAAAAATTTTTAAACGTATAAGAGAAAGTTTTAGAAAGAAATGTTAGAAGCATATACGAACATAGTTTTATAGTGGTTGGTACTTTTATTTAATAAATGTTTGAAAGAGGGGAAGGTACCTAGGGATTGGCATAGTTTCTTTGTATAAAGACAGAGGGGACAAGAGAGTTTAAGAATTATAGGAGAATGACCTGATGAGTATACCTGGAAAGGTGAAGACCAAGTCTTTACAATGAAACATGTAAGTGAACATATTTAGATAATAGTAAAGAAGTTTTCGTTCCATTTACGGATTACGATAAGGCACGTGATAGGGAGGACAGAGGAGCAATGTGGCAGATGCTACAAGTGTATAGAATAGATGGGAGGTTACCTAAGACTTTTACGAGGATAGCGAGGTTCAGGTTAGGGTATGTAAAAGAGAAAGTTTATTTCCCAGTAGAAGAAGGACTTAGAGATTCGTGATGTCACTGTGAATGTTAAATATATTTATAGGTGGGGTTATAAGAGAAGTAAATGTAGGGGTGTTAGAGGTATGGGATTGAGTTCTTTCAGTTGCCTTTTCATGATGACACTGTGCTTTTGAAAGATTCTGAAGAGAAGTAACAAAGGTTTGTGGACGAATTTGAAAGAGTATGTACATGAAGGAAATCATAAGTGAACGTAGGAAAGTTGATGGGTAAACAAAAATTTAGGAATGAGAGATTGGATATCAGATTGCTTGGAGGAGGTGAATGAATTCAGATATATGGGAGTGGACGTGTCAACAGATGGATCTATTTAAGACGAGGTGAACCACAGAAATGACGAGGGGAAAATGTGAGTGGAGCACTGAGTAGCCTATGGAGACAAATAATGTTGCAACAAGGAGGCTAGAGACAGTGGAGATGTCGTGTCTGATGTCAATGTGTGGTGTGAATGTTATGCAGATAATTCGTAGCTTGGAGATTAGGAGAAGGTGCGGAGCTATTAAAAGTATTATCCAGAGGGTTGAACAAGAGTTGTTTAGGTGGTTCGGAAATTGAGAGATTGGAACAAAATAGGATGACATGGAGGTAATAATATCTATAGTGGAGGAAGGCGGGGAAGGAATGATCCTAGAAAAGAAATATGAGTGAAGGCAAAATGGTTTAGTGTTGCAAAGGCTATAGACATCCAGCAAGCGTCATTTGAGCGTGTTATAGCAATGATGCCAAAATTTTTTTTATGACTTGATACTATGTTAGATTTTAAGAAGGTATAGCATGAAGGATTTCGAAGACAATCAAGTGACTGACGTGAATCTGTTCTTTTTCGATACACCTACCTTGGTGAGAGGCACTGTTTAAAAATGTGTATGTATATATATATATATATATTATATATATATATATATATATATATATAATATATATAAATATATATATAATATATATATATATTCGTGTCCTATAGGTAAAAACTTGCTATTTTGGCTTAAATAGCAACGGTCTTCTTGCCGAATAAGGCAGGCGAAAATTTGTGTATGCAATAATTACTTAAAAAATCATTCTGAACCTAACGAAAAAAATATATTTCGTTGTGCTTGTTTATTATTAAGTCATCATTGTAAGCCTATCTAAAACATAATTGGTTGGATTAGGCTAAATTAAATTGCGCTTGTTATAATAAGGTTAGATAAGTTTTCTAAGGTTATTTCGGTACAAAATTATTAATTTTTAAATTAACATATATGGAAAAAAAATGATCTTTAAACGCAGGAATGATTTTCAGTATTTCATTAATTTGATCATATATTCCGTTAGCAATCATTTCGTATTTGTCTTTTATTTCATGTATTTTTTTTTTTTTTTTGCAACTTTAATGCGAATATTTGTCGATTAATTTTGACAGCTGTTGTGATAGTTTGTGTTCATATGTGTTTACATTTGTTGAGTATAATTTTTGCATTTATCTATTTATCTATAGTTTTCTGTGAACTAGTAAACTGAGTCAGTTATTTTCTATATTTTAGAGGGGCCAGTTATGAAAAAAATTGTCACTTTTATTCGCAATGTGACATAAGCTCCTCACTTAAAAACTCTTTGAAAGTGGTCAGTTCACCTAATTTCTGCTCCCCCTCTCTTCCTAGCTACGTACCCATAGCTTCTTTCTCTATCTCTCTATCTGTCTGTCTGTCTGTCTTCTCTCTCTCTCTCTCTCTCTCTCTCTCTCTCTCTCTCTCTCTCTCTCTCTCTCTCTCTCTCTCTCTCTCTCTCCCAGCAACATTTTTTTCTTTTTCTCTTGTTTGTCTACAGCCTTTGTGTCCTCCTGAAGGATCTGAAGGACGTTTTCGTGAGTCCGAGTCCAACCCCTAGCCCGGTCATAGACCAAGACTCTCCTTATGTCTACCCATAAACTCACACACACAACACTCTCTCCGTAAAATTTGTCTCTCCCTATTTACTTACCTTATTTCTCTCTGTCTACTCACAAGCTTTCTTACCACTCCTTGTTTACCCACAACCTTACTTACCTTTACCACCTTGCCTCCTCACAACCGTTCTTATCTATCTCTCCATGACAACCCACAGCCTTTGTTACCCTTCCCTCTCTACCTACAATCAACATCACCTCTTTCAGCCCATAATCTTTCTCACCTGTCAACCCATAACCATTCTGACCTCTCAACCCATAACCATTCTCACCTCTCAACCCATAACCATTCTCACCTCTCAACCCATAACCATTCTCACCTCTCATCCCATAACCTTTCACACATTTCTTTCTACCCATAACCTATTCATCTCTTCTACCCATAACCTTTCTCACCTCTCTTTCTACCCATAACCTTTCTCACCTCTCTTTCTACCCATAACCTTTCTCACCTCTCTTTCTACCCATAACCTATCTCACCTCTTTTTCTACCCATAACATTTCTCACCTCTTTCTACCCATAATCTGTCTCACCTCTCTTTCTACCAATAAACTTTCTCACCTCTTTCTACCCATAAACTTTCTCACCTCTCTTTCTACCCATAACCTTTCTCACCTCTTTTTCTACCCATAACCTTTCTCATCTCTCTATCCATAACCTTCCTCACCTCTCCCCCTGTCTGCTCACAACCTTTGTCACTGCTGTATCTTTCGTCCAATTCTGTCTCTATATTTTTATCACCTTTCTCTTCGCACCTAACTGAAAAATAATTTGCGTAATTCTAGAGCAATTATAGCATTGCGTACTTTTACCACAGCGTTTTCCTCTCAGGAGTCTTTAGAAAAAATCACCTTTTATCGAAATATTACGAAACCAAATCTTAAGCTTTCTACACCTATCGTTGTAATATTTCCCTACATGAATGCGTTCGAGCCACTGGGAAACAATTGTTGCTAGTAATTAAGATTTGTTTCGTACTAACTGCATAGATTCAAATGGTCGTGGATTTGATTTGTAATGATTGAGGCTGTTTTTTTTTATGGGCGACGCGAACTAATGCCGTTAGTAATACTAGATGAGTTTAGGGGAGACAACGAGGTGACAGATAGATTAGGTGATTAGAGAACGGTGGATCGAGACAGAATCATTTCTTGCGTTTGACACAAACTGGTTTAGGGCTTAACAACAAAAATAATAATAGTAATAATATTATTATTATTATTAGTAGTAGTAGTAGTAGTATAAATTAAATGAAAGTAGTAATAGCTGTAGCATGCATGGAATTTCTATTTTCTGAGTGAGAGTTACACACCATAAACACAATACACACTATATACTTCAAACACTGAGGTATTTATTTATCAACAAGTCCTTTGGCTCTGGAGTTGTACAGTAAATGGTAATTCTAGTGCAGTCCTTTTCACTTTTTTGATGAAAAATGTTTTTGTCCCAACAGGAGCCAGGTTAACAAACGCGGTTTTTGTGGCGTCAGAGGCTGTGTACTCACCTAGTTGTAGTCACCTGATTGTGATTGCAGGGGTCGATTCACAGCTCCTGGCCCCGCCTCTTTGCTAGACAATACTATGTCACTCTTCCCGCTCCGTGTGTGTGTGTGTGTGTGGGTGTGTGTGTGTGTGTGTGTGTGTGGGTGTGTGTGTGCGCGCGCGCGCGCGTGCGTGTCGTGCCGAATAGGTAAAACTGATCAATTAGTAAGGACTCGTTTAAAATTAAATAATTTTCAAAATTTTCTCTTATATGTTTAAAGATACATTTTTTTTCATTTATGTAATGTATAAATTAATAATTTTGTACCAAAAGAACCTTAGAAAACTTACCTAACACTATTATAACAAGCGCAATTTAATTTAGCCTAATCCAACTAAATATATTTTAGATAAGTTTACAATAATTTAATAATAAACAAACACTATTTATTCCAAAATCGCAAGTTTTACCTTTTCGGCACGATGTATATATTTTTTTTTTTTTTCAACAAGTCGGCCGTCTCCCACCGAGGCAGGGTGACCCAAAAAAGAAAGAAAATCCCCAAAAAGAAAATACTTTCATCATTCAACACTTTCACCACACTCGCACATTATCACTGTTTTTGCAGAGGTGCTCAGAATACAACAGTCTAGAAGCATACACATATAAAGATACACAACATATCCCTCCAAACTGCCAATATCCCAAACCCCTCCTTTAAAGTGCAGGCATTGTACTTCCCATTTCCAGGACTCAAGTCCGACTATATGAAAACAACCGGTTTCCCTGAATCCCTTCACTAAATATTACCCTGCTCACACTCCAACAGATCGTCAGGTCCCAAGTACCATTCGTCTCCATTCACTCCTATATATATATATACATATATATATATATATATATAATATATATATATATATATATATATATATATAATATATATAGTTCATAATCTAATTACCTTGAAATGATAGTGGTCATGTTTTTTGAAAGCAGCCGAAGCATAAGAAATTCGAACAGATTGCCCAGGTAGGCAATTAGAATTACCTCACTCTGTTCGCCCTAATGTTCTCTGGGTACATTAATCTATTATCCAGTTGCTGCGTGAGTCTGGCTCGTTTCTCTCTCTTTAGTCTCGAAAATAAACATTCATTCCCATGGAAGTCTGAGCAAATATTCCGAGGAAAGAAAACACATTTTAACATTCTGAAGTATATTTTTCACCATTTTCGTGTATTATGAAAGTATTTTTTATCTATTTTGTTAACCTTTTTTTCATAGCTAATGGGAATATTTTTATTGGCGAATTATAGATAAATTTAGGTAATTTTTACAGGTCAATTTTGTCATCAGTGCTTGAAGGGGAAAACAGCCAGTAAAATAGTCAGTGGATAACAGCCAATGAGGTTCAAGTGGTTGGATACAACCAGTATGGTACAATCACTGTGATGCAGCCAATCAGGGATATTTCCTGAACAGTCACTGGGATACAGCCACTGGAATACACCCGGTGGGATACACCCAATGAGAGACAGCCGTATAAACCCAGGTTAAAAACAAATTACCCTCCCTATCCTGCAGCAGCCAAACACTCTCATCACTGTCCAACGGATGTAAACAATCCAAGCGTGCAACAGATTGGCCATTCATGCAAATTTCTGCAACGCAGCGAGAAATTTTGCAAAAACTCTTCACTTAAGCCTCACTAACTTTCCCACGGTTGCTGCAACAAAAGATCCCGGGAAGCTGTTGTTTGTTGTAGATTTCACTTTACTGATCAATTTTCAGAATACGTGAATTTTTAGAGGTATTTATTGCTATTACTGGAGTGTATGATCGCCAACAAGCTGACTGGTCACAGACTGAGCCACGATTAGCGGATGGAGTATAGAGCCTCCATAAATGTTTGCTCTGAATGATCCATAAAGGCTTAATGCTTTTTGATAAAGTTACTGGAATACATTGATTACATGCTTTTTTGCTGATAAATACATATACATATGTAATATATAACCACAAACAAGTGGTATTTAACCAATAACAACACTACGATAGGCTAGCCGGGGGATTGAACCCGTGTTGTTTTAACCCGCCTCATGGTGAGCGAAAATTCACGACGCTCTAACCCACTTGATTGTATGGTCCAGTGGGTTAGAGCGTCTTAAATTTTCCCTCACTATAAGGCGGGCTAAAAACACGGGTTCGATGCCCCGGCTAGACGCAGTGTTTTTTATATAATATATATATATATATATATATATATATATATATATATATAATATATATATATATATATATATATATATATATATATATATATATTCCATTTATTCTTTACAGTTTCTGCTGATACTTTGTTACATATTTATATTATTAATAATTTTGTTTATCTTAATATGCATTACAATAATTTCATCCTAATATTATTCATCATTACCTTCATATTTTTTTTTTTTGAACGTAGTTTTTATCAATGTCATCTTTATCATAAACTTTAGAAACACAAGCATCATCAATCTTGATTAGTTCAACAACTACTTCATCAACTATGTCTATAACGTCACTAACTATTCCAATTACATCAACAACAACCATAACTAAGCCATCAATTTTGTCTTGCATTACGTCAGTAACAGTGTCTTCAACAAAGTCATCAACTACGCTACCAACAACGTCATCAACTTGGCCACTCTGTTGTTAAAACGTTATCTAAACATCACTAATGACGCAATAAAAACAGCAATAACCACGGTCATCCAAACGTAATTAACAAGGACTCGAAAAAAATGCCTACAAAACGTCAGTAAGAATGTTAATCCTAGTCACAGCACACGTCACCAACGTACCTCCATATGCCTTGCAGATTACGTCGTTCCTTTCTCCCAGCTTGACTGGAGAGACGCGAGGCATTACCTCCAGCTTAGTGGGCGGTACTGTGGGCGGACAGAAATAAATAGGCTGTGGTTAGTCACTGGATACCGAGGGAGAGAGAAAGAGCGAGAGTAGGAAAGAGAATAAGAATGAATACATACCAATGATAGTGAGGTTGACCCAGGCTACCCTCGACCTGGTGTTCTGAAAGTCGACCCTGCAGCGGTAGAGTCGACCGTCATCTATAGTGGCGTGGGCGAGGAGGAGTACGGGCGGCGCGCTGTGGGCGTGATACACCGCCCTGGAGCCAAACACTTTGGGGTCCGCCCATTTAGATCCGCGATGGCCCGGTCTCTCGTCGAAACTGTTCGAGAGAAAGATTATTATTTTCATTTTCTGTACACTCTGTGCTGGGTTAAATCTGTCGTGTACTGTGCACAGTGTTAAACCTGCGGTGTGCGATGTGCTGCGGTAAATGTCTGGCACTGAGCACTATTGTAAATGTCTTGCATTGAGTGTTGCGGTAAATCTGTTGTGCATTGGGTATTGTCTGTTATTTATTCTATGCTCTGTTAAACAGTAAGACTGTTGGCTATGTGATATAATGCATCTTTATACATCCATCAGTCAACGTATCAGTTAATGGCTCGAGAACCATCGCCTCCAAGACGTGGTCTTAAGCAATGCTTCGTTTACTGGAACAGATAATATGAGAAGAGTGTGATGAATGTAAACTGCCTTCTCATTGTAAGTTGAAGTTTATAAGATAATGATTTAGATACCTGTGCAACATCTGGGTATCTTTTTCTGTAGATATCTCGCCAACCAGTGGCTTTATCAGTACAGGTAGATGAGGTAATCAGTTCCTCAGCCAAGAACCAAGAAGCAGATGTTCTGTAGTCTTGAACTGTATTGCTAAAGCCACTTGTTGGCGACACATCTATAGAATAGATGTTGCTGAGGTGTTTAATTCATCACCTTCTCGGCATTACATATCACTGATATACAGAAGTTTGCATAATTTACCTACTATTTTACATGTTCATGAGACCTTAAGAAAAAAACAGCACTCCTGTCAGAGTGTAAAATGCTTAACAAGCTTCTATTCTACTCTCTGATGAGAGAATGGTGTATCTTCCTTGGTGGTTGTTGTCTACTATCCAACTGATAGACTGGAGAAGCTCAAACCGTTTTAAAAATGATCTTAAAATGTTTCCCTATTGTCTAATCAGATTACCAGTGCTGAAGCCTGGCTTAGAATTGTTACTAATAGTGGAGTATACTGCTCCCCCACGTTGGCCGGAGCCAGTCATTAGTTTTACACTAGCAATATCCGGTCCAGTTCTGCCCGTCATTAAATACGCATCAATCTTCGTTGATTTTCGGCTGGGCTTCAGTTCTGTGGAAAGATTGACGATGTTGACTGGAATCTCTGTTTGCAAAAGTTGGAAATCGAATAAAGATTATATTGAAATTAGAATAAACTTTCTAAAGCTTAATTTTTTGCTTCTTGGAGAACAGAATACAGAGAGATTGTTTATTTTTTAACTATGATTACAGAAAAAAGTGATCACGTACGAGATATTCTCAATATATTCATATGGCGCGCATATATATATATATATATATATATATATATATATATATATATATATATATATATTATATATATATATATATATATATATATTAGTAGAATGGTGAATTTATCAAAATTTAAATCTTATGAATATGTATACGTAGTAAAGTCTTTGAACTGTGCCTTTATTCTCCTCACTAAAAGCTGTAAATGCTGAATAATGAAAGGCATTTATCCTAGCTCGGATGTATTTATCGCTGAGGAAAATCAGCTCTAATTCTCTGAGTGAAGTCATTACGATTTACCACTGTAGTTTTAACACAAATTCGTGCAAAGCTTTCAATCTCTTTCCCAGTGATGGTGGTATTCAATTACTTTACTACAGGAACGGACCCAATAGTGTGGTTACACCGTAAAGACAATGTAAAAGTAACAGAACAAGCTCATATAATGACGCACTACTCCTAGCAAAACAGTCTACCAAGTAACCTTGTTTTTCTACGTTGTCTTTATTTCACTATGGTCGGCAGTACATCATTTCGAACCTGTGATTATTCCAGGTTCCCTCAACCCACAAAGAACTGAGCTGCTTATGTGCCTACGAATCGTGTTAGGTCCTTTTCATAATCATAAAATAACAAGTTTTGTGGTGAGGACACGGCATGTTGGTGATGAGTAAAGACTCAGGATGGGGAAATCTGATGGCCTTATGACCTTATGACCTGTTTAACAGCGATTTGTAGCGTGTCCATGCATAAGGCTTGCCTAACTTGGGGAATGTGAGCCAAATTCGTCTTGGGCCTGCCTAGTGAATCGAGTACTGGTGACGTCAGAGTGCTCAGACGAGGAGTAGGTTGGGATCAATGTCAGTGGGACATACTGAACAGTGAGAAAAGGACGACGGACATTAGGAAGGAATTGAGGCACTGAAAAATCATGAGGCCAACACGAATTATTGGAGGCAGTGAAGGATAAATTAAACATAATGAAACATAGACTACTGTTGAAGGTAGAAGATGAAAGACGAAGAAGAACCAAAAAAAATGATAGGCTAATATTACGGTTATATGCCTGCCAGGAGATCAAAGAGGTAGGACGGAAAGTAACATCAAGTAGGTAAACAGAACGCAGTTATTCAACAGAGTTTAACAAGAAACTACTGAAATTGAATATAAACGGAGATTATTATAATAATAGTATACAATGCCGAGACAGAGGTATTAGATAAAAAAAGAAAAGAACTGATATTTGAAGAAATTCTGAAAGAAAACCCAGGAATAACACGAGCGATAATTATAACTACAAAGAACATTGCGACGTTAAGACACGAAGTTAGAAGCATTAGACATTCTATGAATATTCATGGTACAGAAACTAATATTAATAACACAACTAATTTTCATGAAAGAAAACTGAAGGATAAATAAGAAAATATGTGCTAATGAGAAGCATAGCAGAGAAAAATTATACAAGTAATTCTTTGAGGACAGACAGAAGAAGCAGAGAAGGAAATCACGAGCCACTCTAGATCAGACAAATATTGGGACAACGAGATCTTTGTTGTAAAGTAAAAGGATACAAGTGCAACTAATGTGACATTTTATTGTGGCAACGTTTCGCTCTCCAGGAGCTTTGTCAAGCAGATACAGTGGTGTTACCCAAGTAATAGCTTTTATATCCTTTTACTCATGTACGAATTAATTGCTCTACCACATTGTATTACTACTACTACTACTACTACTACTACTACTACTACTACTACTACTACTACTACTACAACTTTTGTTATTACTACTACTACTACTACCACTAGTATTGCACCTCACTCTGAACCTTCATATACCCTCTGTGTCCATACACTGTATCGGCTTGACAAAGCTCCTGGAGAGCGAAACGTTGCCACAATAAAATGTCACATTAGTTATACTTGTGTCCTTTTACTTTACATATTGTCGATAATTCTACCAACGTTATTACGAGATCTTTGTTATTCTAGTTGCTTTTAACAAAAAAATACAGGCAAAAATTGAAGGGAAAACAGTTGAATATCTAGTTCCAAACAAATTAAAAGTGAAATATGAACAAGAATGAAAAAAAAAATAAAAATTTAACAAATGGCAAAAGAGAAGCGATGAAAATGCAAATATTACGCTAGAAGTGGGGGAGAGAGAATAGGTGAATAATGGTCATCTAACCCCCATTACCCTCTTTGTCCTAATGTCACCATCTCCACCCTTCCCCTCTCCGTCTACTTCATCCACCCTATCTATATTCAACACAAACTTCATCACCTTCATGCATATCTATACAACATGTATGCTACACATCAAACCAGATCGTAAAATAAGCGTAAAATCTTGCACCTCTGCCCATGTTTCCAAGGCTCCACATTCCTCTTTAACCCCCTATACCCATCTCTTCCCTTTCCTCAAAGTTCCGAAGGTTAATAACATTTTAGCTCATCACAAAAAGATTCGAAGTCGTGTGCATACACACTGAATCTTCAACAAAAAAACTGATTTGCTTTAAAACCTAGAGAAAATAACGCATACATATTAACAATTATATAAAAACATGTGACCAGGGATTCAATATTTCCAATGAAATACCAAGTTATAAGAATAGAAAAAGATGACAGAGGGAGTGAGAAGGTACTATTGTTAATAAAAGCAATGATGGTTACAAGAAATTTAAGTACAGGTAGGGCTAATCTTAATTTGTCGGTTATTACTAGCAATAAATAAAGATAAATAAAAATTAAAATACCTTCAAAAATATCCTATGAGACTTGGGACTAATTAGGAAATAAGAAACAAGGAG